AAATAACTTGTTTAGAATCTAGAATAAAACACATGGCATACAATGATCAACAAGGCGAATATAAATAAACAACAATAACAATATTTGAAGTGTGTGATTATAATTTTGTTCCAGCATGGAAAATTGAGTTAAAAGTGTTATGATTTTTAATTGATACCTTAAGAGTTAACTTGGAGAAAAAAAGATGATATATTTATCAAAATTATTATTATTTATTATTATTATTATTATTATTATTATTATTATTATTATTATTATTATTATTATTATTATTATTATTATTATTATCGTCGTCGTCGTCGTCGTTGTTGTTGCTGCTGCTTGCTGCTGCTGATGCTGCATCGCGTTGTTGTTTTTACAGTTGTTGTGAATTTTTCCTCCTCATCATCATCATCATTTCCATCATCACATTCATTATCGATCATCATCAGCAACATTATCAATCATCATCATCACCATCATCATCATCATTATCATCATCATTATCAATCATCATGAATATTATTAAAGATATTGTTACTGATTGTTTATTTCATTTATCGTCTCCGTTTAAATGTTATTCTTTATTGGACACAAAATTTACATTTCTACAATATTCACACGTTAAAATACCTTGTATATTGTTACACAAATAAATTGAAGTATAATTCAGTTTATGAATACTTAAAATGTATATACATACATGTGTTCATGTACTAAAATATTACCCTTGTGTATGTCGACCGGAGATGGTGCTGGAATTTGTGCACGTGTTCCTGACGATGATAGATGCTCGGGTAAACTGTTTGCTGCCATAGGTTCGGTATGTATAAGTGTTTTGCACATTGCGATGAAAGACTCTACAGAACATGATTAGGAGAAACACCATTAGAAGAAACAAATTGCTTTAACACTTTAAAGCACGGATGCATTTTACATGTAATTCTTTGGAAAAAAAATATGAACAGTCTTTTGGTTCCAAATATGTTTAATATGAACTTCATTAAGAAACCATTAAAGATAAGGTACATGGACTCTAAAACAACGTGTTTGACTGATGTGCTGACCCATACATAAAGCGATTATAATTCCAAAAACAAAATAATGATATTACTGCCGCCATAAATACATTTTTACAGATTGTACCATTTATATTGAAGTTTTGTGTTTGATATTGTTTCAAGATATTGCACAACAACTCTGAAAACAGCTTTGTATGTACAATATTCTCAATTACATTTTGCACGAAAAAAAAACACGTGCCATTTCGTAAGTGAAATATCACACTCTGTCTTATATACCTATTTGGCGTATTCAGTGCATATTAAAAACATTTCATATCTAAATGAGCCAAAATGATTTGTAGCTAAAAATGAACTTGACAACAAATCAACGGCAACAACAAAAATTTAAAAACGCAATTTTTATGAACGTACGGCAGTTCCACGTGCCATCTTCCCGGCATGCCGACAAAGGGACATAATTCTGTTTAGAACAATGGTTTACATATGATGTTATTCTGGAACTGTCAGCTGAACTACATTCGGCTTCCTTTGGTTCGTTTGATTTCGTTGTATTGTCGAAATTAACAGCAGACGGAGCCGGGCCAAAGTGCCATGAACACCTGAAATGTTTTTTACTTTTCATTTTAATTACTAGTATAAGTTGAAATCTACTCATACTTTAATTTTAAAAGAAGCAAACCACTGAAAATGCCTCTGAATTATATTAAAATCGAAAGTTATTTGGGAAGAGATTTAGAAGAAAAAAAATTATACAGTCTAACTTGCCAATGAGACCACGTGTATTAAGCGACTTTTGCCTTATGCGGCCACTTTCTATCTAAATTACAACCAAGCGGATTATTTGTGCCAATCAAACAAAAGTTTAACACCCACCACACACAAAAAAGTATATTTACCTGTAATGTCCTAACTTGGATGGTTCGCTGAGTCGAATTTCTAAAACGATGAAAAAAATTAATCATGAAGTCAATATAATACACAATGTACGTCAATATCTTTTTTACTATTTTTATTTAGTGAGCGTCACTAGAGTTCTCGTTTTTAAATATTATAAAACCCGAATTCCAAAGAATTGTGCCAGTTTATTTTTTTTTATTACTGTAAGGGTTTCACAAACCGAAAAATGAAGCTGCTATATAGTCGTCTTTTTTTCTTCTTACTTTTAAAATCATTATCAAGCTTAAAAGATTGTTAAAAATTAATCTGCATTAAAAAGGGAAATGAAATATTCAACAACAACAACAACAACAACAACAAAAAAAATTAAATAAAGTTTAAACTTTATACCTGCGATTAGAAAGAAAATGAAATAATTAACAAAATTTCTAAAAATCCAACACTCCATACTAATGGTCCCTTGTAATTTAGAGGAAATCAGACAGTCAGCGTATATTGATGCTTTTTTGTGGGTGTTGCTTTTATGCAAAATCAATTTATTAGTGTTCGAATGATAAATTGGGCATGTGTATTTATTGTAATAAACCCACTGTGTGTTAATATATACGCTTCTACTAAATGATTTTAATCCATTCTATTGCGTCTTTTAGACTTTACAATTTATCGTTTAACGCTTAAGCTTAAAAATATTTATTTCTAATCATTTTATTTAACATAATAAAGTATATGAATAAAATTTACAGACCGAGTAGGAAGCTTTTTTGAAAACTCTATAAAATCAATAAGTCACTTTTTTTTTATAAATGGTAACAAAAATGCACAATAAATAAATTAAACTATACATACCATTTCGACCTGTGCTTGCTTTATTACGAAAAAATGAAGAAATAGTTTATTTCGGTAACTTATACATTTACAGTATCTCGTTATATCTATCTTTTATCTTTATAATAAGTATTGTTTATGGCTTCGGACTTATAATGCATTTCTTTGGAATTGCAACATCTTTGTCAGTTTGTCAAAGAATCCCCAAATCTGCACTGTTCATCCAAAAATCGTCCGAATATTTTTGTAAGCTTATGCTGTATAATACAAATATTATAATATTATAATTTATTGCGACCGGTGTTTAAACAGCATCAACAACAAAAATAATATTAAAGACTTTCTTTAACGAGAGAACTCATTTGAACAACAAATCAGTCTTCCATGAGACCATCAACAATGAATAATATGAATTTAACATATTTAAACTATTAAATTGTACATATTCAAACATTAATGTTACATACATGAGATTTTATTGACAAATCGACCAATTTGTTTACACCAATAAGCGATAACATTTTAAGAATAAGGTTTTAAAATGGTTTACAGATGACAGCCGATATAATGAAACCATAAATAAAAACACAGAAAGTCGCGCCTAATAATGAATTAAAACATTGAAAATGGTAAAAAAATGTGGCAATGGATTCGTATTAAAATAGTTACTTTCTAGTAAAAACGTAATTGATAGAGTAAATTTGTTAAAGCTGCATGTCTTTTTAGATGAGTCAAAATATTTCCAGACGATCCAACTTGAGGAAAATGTTCTAAATGTGTTATGTTTTAAGTAAAATTATTCAAGATTCAATTAACAATTTAAATGTTAAAGACTGATTTTGCAGTTTTTATCACCAGAATAATTTTTGCTGCGAAAGAAAACGCAGTTAGAACAAATTTTACATATTTTGACCCTTTTTGGTAATTTGCGTAGATTGTAAGTGCCGTTTTCAATTTTTAAATTACTTTCTTTGTTCGCTTTAAAATATTTTACTTTTAAAATATATTTTCAAAATAAATTCTAAATGAAAATTAGCGTAAATCTGGAGGCATGCTGCTTTGAAATTGGCTATATGTGTATAATGAATAATAACGTGGTGCGTTTATTTGTGTAAATACGACATATTGATACTGACTAGCGACTTATTGTTCATCAGTCATAAGTCAATCATAATAAAACACTACTGTCATCTCTCATCAATTCCAAACACAGTCATTGTCACTAGTGTATGTATAAATATATGGTAATCAATTAAGTAGTTTAATATATTATGTTAATAACATATACCTTAATATGTCGAGTAATCATAAATGGTGAAAAATATTTACAGTATATTTACAAAACATGTTTACAACATATTCCGTGTGAACTTTGTTTCTTAAACGTTCTTGTTTATTACCATTGTAAACATAAACAGACATCTGTCCTTTTTTCCACAAAAATTAGACAACGCAATGATGACACTAAAAAGAATAACCCTAGAATTTAAAAAAAAAATGGGACCGAATTTCTTATCGGAGTTTTTATGCGGTTAAGCTAATTCCCTGCTAGTTTTAAATCAATCACCTCCGTATAACATCTACTATAGAATGCTGTCTATGAAAAAAATATAAATTTCAATGATATTTATATTTAGGATTTAGAAGATATACTACATGTAGTAGATGTTTTTTAAGATAACATGAATAAAGTTGCACTCATCTGGAATGTATAAAAGGAAATAACATGCAGAAAATGATCACCTTGCAACTTTTAAGAGCTCAATTTTCAATACAGACAAAGCAACTGACATCAATCTTAAAATTTCTTTAAATTCATGGTTTTAAAAAAATGGCATTAATGACACTATTACCACATATAGTGATGGTGTTGGTAGTTTTCACTCTGGATTCCGGCAGAAAGCCACATCGAATTTACCAGAGCACAGTTCAGTTCTGGGCAGGTTGTTAAATGAAATATCATTACACTACATACAATTACAACGTAGAACGCCAGAACCACACAAAACAACACAATGTCGCATATATAAAACATAGAATAAACTTATATGCAAATATCTCATGCAACAACAATATATAATGCTATTAATTCTGAAATTATGACGACGTTTCCACATGCAATTACAACGTAGAACCCTATTACCAAAAAATGACAACACCTTATGTCCCTATGACATTATTGCCACACACAACAACCAAATATGACCTATTCTTCATAACAATAACAAAAAGGGGGGCCATGATAGCAACTTGATGGTGTGCGCTGATGTTGGTGGTTTTTTAGCCCCCACATCATCAAATATGTTTCAATGCTAAACATCTAAACTAGCTCAAAATTTGGCGCCATTTTAAAATAGATTTTTTTAGATTTTATAATAACTCATATAAGTTAAAAAGTAATTTATTAACCCCAATCGCGTTTTGAACCAAGGCTTTTATTTGAACCAAAACTTTGAAGCACTTACCCCAAGAGATTTTCATGCATTCATATTCTTTTAAACTCCTAAGCTTTATTTGGTATTGTTCTTCATAAGAAGAATTTTGTTCTTTCGACTAGTACTACATTTTAAGGATTTCAAGACGCCCGCGCGGTCCAATTTTGATAAGGTTTTTTTAACAAATTTGTTAACATACTCACTAGAAGATGTTTCATGCTTAATATCTAAACTCTAGCTATTTGGGTTTTTTGAACTTTTTTCAAAGAAGATTTTTTAAGTTTTTGCTATACACATATAAGGAAAATCAATGACCCCGGGGCGGGCAAATTTTGACCCCAGGGCTTTTATTTGAACAAACTTGGTAGACACCTATTAGAACATGTTTGATTGCTAAATATCTTAGCTCTAGCTCTTTGAGTTCTTTAAAAGAAGATTTTTTTTAAGTTTTTACTATATGCATATAGGGAAAATCAATGACCCCCTGGGGCGGGGCGAATTTTGACCCCAGGGCTTTTATTTGAACAAACTTGGTAGACACTCATTAGAACATGTTTCATGCTAAATATCTTAGCTCTAGCTCTTTGGGTTCTTTAAAAGAAGATTTTTTAAGTTTTTACTATATGCATATAGGGAAAATCAATGACCCCTGGGGCGGGGCCAATTTTGACCCCAGGGATTTTATTTGAACAAACTTGGTAGACACTCACTAGAAGATGTTTTATGCCAAATATTTTAGCTCTAGCTCTTTGGGTTTTTTAAAAGAAGATATTTAAAGTTTTTTCTTTCGGTTGCCATGGCAACCAGAGTTCTGCATGGAATTAAATTCTTTAAACAATTTTTAATGGTGACCACCAAAGGAACATTCCCGTGAAGTTTGGATGAAATTGGCCTAGTGGTTTATGAGGAGATGTCATTTAAAGTAAAAGTTTACGGACGACGGACGGACGCCGGACGAAAAGCGATCACAAAAGCTCACCCTGTAATGGCGTGATAACCCCATGATCAGCAACTAAATTGGGGATGGGTGTGGGTGAGGTGGTGGTGGTGGCTTTTTTTTTGGGGGGGGGGAACATTCATCAAATTACTTTTATCAATGCTAAAAAACACCATAAACTATGTTGACTTTATAATATTTGTGATAGCGGCCGCCAATAAAAGCGATCTTAAAATATATTTTTATTGCTTATTGATGAATATATTTGCATATATAAAGTTATAAAAGTAAGCTTTCATTTAAAAAATCTCAATAGGTTGAACCAAAGGTTAATTATTGTCATTTAACCTAAAATCAATTTAAGATATGCAGTTATTACGCGGCTACAGATGGTAATTATTCATGCAATGACTCATTTTGATTGCACATTTCTTTTTTTAAACTCATATCCGTGACATATCTATTTTATTCCCATGACACATGTAACTTGTTACCGTGTCATATCTAACTCCTTTCCGTAAGTAAGTTAGTTGTTCCTTCGAAATACTAGTAGTTTGTTCTACAACTATTTTAAGTAGATTTTTTCAAAGACGTCCGCGTCCGCGTCCAGATTTCTGATATAGGTTTTTTGTATAATGAGATATTTGTTTAACTATATTTTCTTTATTTATTGGGGGATTTATTCCAAACTTCAAATATGTTCCTTATCATCGCCCATATTATATGTGTTAAGGTTCATAACTATAACAACCACATTTTAGAAACTGCTTTAGTTAATAAAGAAATTTTTTTAAATTTAATCTGAACTAATTTTAAATTCTATCTGGAAACAGTTAATTTATAATTATCTACTACACAAACTTTTCTATCTCCAACGTTTCGAGGGGTTAAACCCCTCTTTATCAAGAAACGTTGGAGATAGAAAAAATCTGAACTAAGAAAGATAACTACGTCAACATATATTGTTCAGTCATTAAAGAGTTATGCACTAATCAGTTAATATAACCGGTCTTGCGGACAATCAAAGGAAATTCCGCCTTACTATATCCACGACTTTTTGTGCTATCCCACGCATACCTCCGGGAGTGGGGGTGGCAATGGGGTACATTGCTTCCGGGCGGCGTACTGTTATTTTTAGCATGGCTGTGCAGAAAACATTATTCGAGTTCCTTACATGCATATGTTAACCGAGAAGATGTTTCCATTTCGCAACGAGAATGCATGCCTTTGGTCAGAATGGTGCGTACCATCTAACTGTGCGGGCTTCCCCTGAGCTTCATCGCGGAATGTATGTATGTATTCTATGTTTAATGACGGTCTATCCGCCCGTTAAGGCACATGTCACCAGTCATGCCCGTAGAGTTAATTTTGAAGATAACCTTCATGCAATTTCCACGGAGTATTAGAATTTTGAGTCCAAAGTAGGTCACTGCACGGCGGCCAATTCATACATATATGTACAGTTACCTTAGACAATATGAAAAGGAGGTAGCCCTGAAAAAGGGGCTGTAATGCCAACAAAAGGCCTGCAGTTCAAGCCGTCACTCACTGTGCTAGGGACTCACGCACCTAAACTCATTTTCCTTTTCGTCTCCGCCTACTTTGTAGGACCTCTCTCCGTGGCTTTAGTCAGGACAGTTGGTACGTAAGATACAAGTTTCAGTTATATTTCCCCGCATTCGCAAGTCCTTCAAATCTTCTTCCGATAACTTGTGTCTCCTCAACGACGTGCGCGTACCGAGAGGAAGCGAGAAGGCTTCATCGTGGACCAGAGCCAAATACCTTATATTGCCGTAAAGGAGCTTTTTCTACGAGGGCTTTTTCATTTTTCCAAAATTGGTCTGTTCAGTAAGTGTTAAGCATGAAATGAGTATATAAAGAAGAAATACTGACGGATTAAGGTTTATATCATGAAGAGCTATTCTGGGCTTTGTATGCAGACAAATCTGAAAGACAAAGGCAATTATACGAAAGTCCGGTAGGGCCATTTCAACTTCATGAAGTTGAAATCGTGAATTCGTGAAGTTGAAATCGTGAATTCATGAAGTTGAAATCGTGAATTCATGAAGTTGAAATCGAGAATTCATGAAGCTGAAATCGGGAATTCGTGAAGTTGAAATGCCCCCACAGGTCTTTCGTACAATTAACTTCTGGCTTATATCCCCTTTTGTTATGATATTGTTAAATTACAAATGAATGTTCAATAACTTATTTATTTAACAAGTATATATTATTTCATATCCTTGTACGCTGTAACTGAAAATTGATTTACTTGAAATTCGAAACTAACACTTAACACGCTGTCGTACAATATATTGCTGTAATTCGAAACTAACGCTTAACTGACCCACTTGGGTTTCGTCTTACATTAAATGATGAAGCAAATCAGCGGTTTTGTTCTTCACAAAGCTACGACATGACTGTTAAATTTTGAATAATGCCCAATTATACGGTCACGATGTATTCATTGAATACAATAAAATCCATATTGCATGTATTGGTCCACATTTTATCATGTTTAAAATCAAGATATGTGATTTTAATTGATATACCCTGGAAGTAATGTAATTTGTGTTTGAAATATAAACTGTAGAACCTCTGTTAAAAGATCGCCTCTGCTAAAAAACCTGACTAAATTTTATGTGTTTTCTACAGTTTTAAAAACTGTTTTCCCATTGTTTTAATACTATACAGTTTAAAAAGCTGAACTCTTGATTCCAACCCAAAGCGGATTTTATAACGTGCCCATTGGTTGGTTCAAAACTCATGTTTTATTCTTGCTTTGGTGTTGGAAAAGTGTATTTGCAAGTATTTTTTATTAAAAGAATATCAAATATTTAAGGACTTGATTCTTTTCGATTAAGTTACAGATTTAAACAAATTTCATCCTCATATTCAAACATTTCTCAAAAAATATACATGTAAAGTAAATTGCAGTAGGCAGATATTAATTCTTCCGTGACTTGCTTCATTTATTTTCATATCTTGTTTTTAAACCATTGAAAAGAATCAAAAGAACGTAAATAAAACACAATAATCATAACATCAAGTAAACAATTATACAATCTTCCACATTCATAATATAAGATATATCCGTTGTAAACTCTTTATAAAAGGGAGGTTATAAAAAACATTCAAATTAAAAAAAAACAAAAAAAACATAACGATATGGATTAAGTGAATTGTGTTAAAAAGTATTGAAAGCTTCATGAAATTTCAGTTTTTATTAGTTTTGTATTCATATGGTATTCAAAGAAAAGGCAGATCTTTATCTGTATTTAACTTTATATACATATCTCGAGAGATTAACGTGAAAATACAAGACTACAATTCGCATAATCTCGGATTAAAGAGACGTCTGCACTTGACATAACCTTAATTTATTTAACGTGGATTAGTATTATCAGAATTTCAACATTGTTTTGATATCGGACGGGTAATTACACTTACTTCTTAAACGGTAATCTCCCTTTTATGCCGATCCGCCATTATTACGCACGCGTTTGTCCGTTTGATTCGGATTATTTCCAGTTTTATCCCATAAGCCCTAATTGTTTTTAACTTAACCTGCTCTTTGACTCTAAACTAGTTCTTTGACAGTTTTTCGATATTAATCAACAACGAAGGATAGCTTAAATTTAATATATATACATGATGAAATTATATAGAAAATCGTTATCGAGAACTGTGCCAATTGTGTGTGAACTTCCAACCCCTTTGATCCGTGCAGCAAACGCTCTCTCATTTGCGATTAATGCATAGCTATGTAATTTAAAAACTTCATAAATCTTCAAAATTCATTTAGAATTTTAATAACTTTAAGTTTGTGAGTCACTTTTAGTCATTTGGGCATTTATAGCATGTAGATTCTATATCTTTATAAAACACGGACAAGTACGGAAAATGCCGATTTTCACGACCTTATAATTAAAGCATGCGACTCATTATCAATAAATTATATAGAATAATTTACATTATTTTATTGAATGATAAAGAAAACATGCCTTGCCACAATGTTCAAAAATCGGTGTCATCTTATTATAAAGAAATAACAACCATTTTGTCTTATTTTCCTAAGAGTTTATCAAGATAAAGATCTTATTATAATATGAAACATTCGACCGATATATTAACAAAATAATCAATATGAGTTTTCTTTCAATAATAATAAAAAATAGGACCAGATGAGAGCAGAAGAAGAAGAAGAATGAAGAAGAATAAAGAAAGTTAGAAAGAAAGTAAGAAAGAAAGAAGAAAGAAAGAAAGAAAGAAAGAAAGAAGAAGAAAGAAAAAAAAAGAAAAGAAAGAAAGAAAGAAAGAAAGAAAGAAAGAAAGAAAGAAAGAAAAGAAAAGAAAAGAAAGAAAGAAAGAAAGAATAGAAAGAAAGAAAGAAAGAAAGAAAGAATAGAAAGAAAGAAAGAAAATAGAAAGAAAGAAAGAAAGAAAGAAAGAAAGAAAGAAAGAAGAAGAAAGAAAAAAAGAAAGAATATCCGCTATAAACAAAAGTGAAAATTTGGGGGTGCTGTTTTATTAATATTTGAAGATGTCCTTACTTTTAAATGGTTTATGAACCGTCTGTTCCAAAAGAATTTCATACTAACAAATTTCTAAATGTAAATTAAGTAAACACTACTGTACACATTTTTTCTACCACTTGTTAATGTTTGTTTGTTTGTTTCTAAACTTTAAATCGTTACTAGTATATTTCAATGCTATCTTAAACATGTACGCTATTATATATGCATGCATGCATACATGTATAACGATATTCAATTTAAAAACATAAATGTTTGTATTTTCAAGGCTTTAATGAAATCTGATATGTTTAATGTAAAAACGTATAACAATTAAACAAACAATAAATAGCTGATATATCGGAACATATTGCATGCGAAATAAATATAAATCATAGATTGTCATTTAACAATAAAGTGTACATGTATGCAGTTTTGAAGCCATGTGGGCCATTGGTCTGAGTGGTTAATTTTTATTGTACTTGCAATGCCTCTGGACGATTAACCATGCAGAAAAGTACATCAGTCTCCTCAAAATTCATATTTATTTCTATACCAAGATATTCATATAAAAAACTATAAGAATATTAAATTGTGTTCATTGGAGAGGGAAAGTACTTAACTTGGTACATTGGTGTTGTGCTATTTGAGCCACGCCATGACAAAACCAACATAATGGGTTTGCGACCAGCATGGATCCAGACCAGCCTGCGCATCCGCGCAGTCTGATCAGAATCCATGCTGTTCGCTATCAGTTTAACTACTTGTTATAGGGTTTGTAACACATTATGTTGGTTTTGTCATGGCACGATTCATTTATTGTATTGTATCCAAGTTTAAAGTGCCTTTACTGAGATCCAAATGTCTGAAACATCGAAATATTTATATAGGTCAACTGGTGAAACTAAACCGAAAATAAATTATCGAGAATTGATAAAGAAATATACTAAGACATCAAATTAAAATTCATTTTTAGTGCTATTTTTAGCACGATTTTAGTTAAAACGACTTTCATTTTTAGATAATCTTGCACAATGAAAATAAGTATTCTGGGAGAACGGATTTTAAAAGCGAATGATCTGGAATCGTGCACACAAGTTATTGGTATAGGCCGTCATCGAATGGTATTAAAACTTTAAAAAAAATCTAGTCTCATTATGTTACTAAACCTCAGTGGAGCCCCTTTAAGATATAAAATGGCTTGTGAAATAATGAGTTTGCCTTTTTTGTCAGGGTTTACTAGCTTTTCAATAACATGGGATAAAAATAACATAATTTTCGTGAACTTCAAAGTAAGTAAAACGCTGGTAAACCTAATCGAAGCAATCAGGGAAAAATTCCCAATTCTATCTGTGTTCTTACCAATAATTATTTTCTAAGACAATTATTTACACATTTCCCAATTCTTTTTAAACTTTTCTGGGGGTCCCAATTCTATTGTTACTCTTAAATTCTTTATCGAGACATTTACAGACAGATTTTACCGATTCTAAATAGTAATACTCTAAAATTCTTATAACTCGAGACAACATGGCATTGCTTACAATATGTGAGCGATAGTCTCAGTATGACGAAAATATTATGATGTACAACA